AAAAAAAAAAAGAAAAATCATACGGGGCCGTACGCAGTAGCTAAAAAAACTTGAAGTTTAAATTTAAACCTGCGCAGTCACAAGTTGGCGGGGAACATTCTACTAAAACCCGGCTTCAAGCTCTTGTGGTTCCCGAGTTGAAAGTGTGCGACAAACAGAACGCAAACACACACACCTGCTCTGCTGTTAAATTGCACAAAAGCATAACAAAAATCAACCCAGGTTTCAACGCACCAGGCTTGTCGGTGTGATCCTGCGTTTTTGCGCTAAACTTGAAGGTTGTTAATAGCAAGAATGGTTTCTGCACTGCAGTCACTTGGACTCATATTTGGCTGTGTTTTGGCCCCTTTCCACATGCAGAGGTAAAGGGTGCCGACTAGGATGAAGGTGATGCATTATGAGGCTGCGTAGATTTTCAGCGTGCATGATCGCCAGTTTTTCGCATGAAGCCCGATCATTTTTCCAGTGAATGCACGCCCACTGAAAAAATGCAAATTTGAAGGAAACCGGAAGAGGATTACGGAATCCGCAAAATGCAATTGTTTTTGAGTTTGCAATAAAATTGAGTATTTGTCTTGTCTGCGTACACGGAATTTAGCTTCCAAGCTGAAGTAACCTCAAACGTGAATATAGAACATCCTTGCAAACTTTCAGCTCCGCAGCTGTCCGGCAAGCGAAACAGTCACTTCGATACAAATATTTTTGAAGTGCTCCAGCGGTGGCGCATGCAAAAATCGAAGCTCAATTTAAGTACACGATTTTTTACTTAAACAATATTTCGACAAAATTCCAGCTACTGTTTTCCGATTAGTTTTCCAGTTGGTGCAATGCCAACTGCGAACTTCGACTTGGCCGTATGTGTGGTGCAGACATGCGCGACAGCTGAATTTGAAAACTTTAACTCATACATGCACAGAGAATAATATCTCACCAAAGTTTCACCTGTCTATCTTGTCTAGGTCATAAAAACGTTCTCCGCCAAAAAAATTTACATATTTTTTCGAGGTCTGTATGCGAGATCTAGGCGCGTATGGGGTAAGATCTTAAAACGGAAGGGCGAAATACAGGGTGGAAATATGCCCCCAAAATTTCAGCCTCCCAGCTTTCCTGGTTGCGTAGTTGAAAGTGAGTGGCAAAACCACTCACTTCCGAACATACACACACACGGCCATGCGTTTTTGCACATATGCAAATGGAAAAGTGCATGTTGGCAAGAAGCTGTGTGTGTGTGCGTCTATGTGCCTGCACTTTTTGTCCTCCACTTTCAACTCGAGAACCAGAAATGCTAAAAGGCTGGAACTCTTTGAGTATATGCCTACACCATGTGTGACCCTTCTGTTTTAATATCACCACTCGTGTATAAACGCCTTAAAAAAATATGCAAATTTTTTGGCGGGGAAGCAAATCTCGAGAACCAAAAAGAAAAGAGAGCTGAGACTCTGCGGGGATATTTTCCATGCATGTGTGAGCTAAATGTTTCAGATTTAGCCCCCAGGTGTGCGTGGTTTTCATGCACAGGCGCGTGAAAGTTTTGCCGAGGAAACTGCTAGCTTGATAACCAGAAAAGCTGGAAGGCTGAAATTTAAAGGGTATATCCTCCGTCCACGCACAATTTAAAGATTTCAAATTCAGCAAGCCGGTACGCGCGGTATTCACGTGCGAGCAAGTGAAATTTCTGGCGGAAAAATTACTAACTCGGAGACCAGAAAAGCTAGAAGGCTGAAATTTTAAAGGAATGTTCCCTGTCCAGGTACGACTAAAACATTTTAAATTCACTTTTCAGGTATGCATGGTTCTTATGTGCGGGCGTCTGAAGTTTTGGCGGGAAAATTGCTTACTAAACAGCTGGATCATTTTCAAAGAACGACCCTTAAACGGAAATTGTTTATTTCGTTTGTGTAAAATTTACGACGATTTACGCTACTGCACCCAAAAGGTGGGTGTAAGGCAACAACCATTCATGCAATCACGCGTCCTTGAGTGAGACTAAGTGGGAATGAAGGCTGAACTTGAAATTCCAGGACTGTGCATTACCAGGAAATATCACCCTTAATTTTCAGCTTTCAATCTTGTGTGCTTTTTGAGTGCGAAAGTTCCCCGCCAAACCTTCCAAATATTTGTATAAGTTGGGCGTAAGCAGGGGATAAATCTGAGCTCTTGAGATAGCACGTGAGCACACAATACCCTCCTAAAATTTCTGCTTCCTATCTTGTCTACTTAACGAGTCAGCAATTTCGGCGCAAAATCTTTTAATTGATCATAACTTGAGGTCTACGCGTAAATGAAAACAGAATTTGAAATCGTCACCAGTTCCAGATTTAGTAATTTCTTCACCACAAATTTCATGCGCCTGTACGTGAGATTCAGATGTTGAAAGCTGAATTTGTGAGGTCACATGCGGACAAGAAACATTCTCCTAAAACCTCAGTTTCGTAACTTCTGTTGGTTCCCGAGCTAGTAATTTTACCACCAAAACGTTCATGTTACCATGCATGAGACGTAGGCTTACGTGAAAGTGCACTTAAATGATCCTTGTTCACTTACGCCTTATTCTAAAGTGACTGAAGTGTACTTACCTCCTTCTCTTGTTCGGAATGAGATTGGGTCGGATGGTGTTCCATCATTCTGCCCATTCATTACGGCTACTTGGGCATAATTTACACTGTTTGGACGAAGACCAAATATTGTAGCTCTCGTTTTTTCGGGTGCAACAATTACAGCTTGTTTACCAGCTGAAGCGTCAGTTTTCGAAATTACTGCTGGGTCTTCGCGTTTCGTTCGGCTTATCTATAACCGGGTGCACATTATGCTCGTCTGGACTATACCAAACTACAATTGCGATAAACAGTGAGGAAGGATGCCACAGCCTTTGTAAAATCTGTATAAATTCTTAACTCCAAAAAACAAGTCTCGTTTTAAAAAACTAAGACAGAAATTTTGTCCAACTAGCTTCACTGCTACGGAGACCCCTCAGCAAAACAATCTTTTTGCTGATTTTGCTAGCAGTTTTTTAAAATTTTAGCACCTTTGCGAATCTTTTCAGCCTTTCACTTGCACTGTCACTGCTTTCTTCCTCCTCGCTTTCGTCTTCGGAATCGTCGGACCAAAACGAAATCTGCAACTACTTGATTGTTTTTAAAAACATCCACCCTAGCAAGGATACATACATTCAAGAAAAGGGAAAAACCTTTATTCCAGTGAAGTTTCCTTGAACTTGTTGAGGATCAACAGGATCCCATTCGAATGTTGCCGATGTGGAATCCGAGCTGATTAATTTGAAGCCAGTGGGTGTGAAGCCAGGATCACCTTCGCCCGTTCTTCCCTCCACAGTCTGCGGTGAAATATTCGAAGTCCCAACCTCATTAACAGCTCGAACCTGCAATTTTCAAGTGAAAAAAACCGAACGCCCTCTCGTTCCTATTTTTCGAAGGCTTGCACGACTGCAGAACGTCCAACTGTGTTCGGAAAAACTGAATACGTTAGGAAAATACGAATTTACCTGCACTTCGTAGGGACGAAAAGGCTCCTCAGCAGTGAGTTCTATCGTATGTCGGTCCCTGTATGGATCATCTACAATCTCTTCCTTCCATTCGCCGTCTGTTCCTGCCTAAACAAAGACAACCGTAATGGAAGAAACAAAGGAGAAAGAATAACAAAAATACCTTTCCCATAAAATGAAAAATACTATGTAATAATCACAAAAAAGAGCATACCGGCCGATAACGGATAACGTAATGGAAATTACGTCCATTCCAATCTTCTCTTGGCATTGGCTTCCAGAAAACAATGAGATTTTCGGGCCGAGATCCCGTCGCCGATACGCCTTCTGGATTTTTGTCAGGAACCCGAGCCGGTGTTACACATTCACCGTTCACACTTGTGGGAGCTCCGTCACCAAAATCATTACGGCCAAAAACACGAAAACGGTACTGAAAATTTTCCGTTAAAAGTTCAAGAAACTCCTTTGAATTCTACCGATACGATGTGGAAAAATACTGAAAATATTTTAAAAAACTATTCAGGAAACGGCGCAAATTGGTCGGATTTTCTGCGCTGATGTCCGGCGGCCTTAGCGTGTAGTCTAGCGACTAGTGCAGCAGCTATCTTCACAAGTATCCCTTCAGTTATCAATCCTAACTAGGCAAAATGCAGTAAAGCGTAATACTCCTTCGCGTAGCTAAGACATCGGAAGATTTGAAAAACTGTAGCATCGCTCATGCCTGGAGAATTGCACGAATTCATATGCAATGAGTCTGGCCAGGTATGAGCGATAAAACAGTAATAAAAGGACAAAATTATTTAAATTTAAAAGTAACACGTACTTTGCCAAACGGTCGCAGTGAAACATCTAAAGTGCCCTTTACTGAGCGCTGGTTATCATCAATCGTCTGGATAGAGTCCGTCAAAGCAGGATAAGGATGAGTTAGCCAGACAGAGCCATCAGTCGCTTCATCTATTTGGTACTGCGCCCTAAAAAATGAAAAGGAAGTCGGAAGCTTCAAAAAGATGAAATTTCTGGGTGTTCTCTAAGAAGACTAATAACAAAATGGAATCTTCTTTACTTCGAAAATTCTTTCTGGAAAACCAACTGTCCTGTCTAGAACTCATATCAATCTCAATCACAGCAAGCGGTAAAAGCTCAAACAACCACTGCGCAAATGGTTAGCTACTTCAAAATATGGCAACTAAGAAGTGGCCCAAACCATATTTCTTTAATGGGTGCACTGAAGTCGATATCTTCCATGTATTCGAATTTGATTGATGCAATCTGCGCAGTATCGTCACATTTCGTCAGAAATGCAATATGCACTGGATTTGGAACATCTATAAAATTCATGCAGTTGAAAGCCACATCATACTGACTACTGCATTCACCAGCAGCATAATATATGCGCTGAACTGGGTAATACACATAAGTTGTGTGGCTTATTCACAGCTCAGCTTCGTAACAAACCGGTAAAAATTATGGTAAAATGAGAAGCTGCCACAACATAATAAAGCAATTAAATTAACGCAATGAATTAAAAAACAGCCAAATGATTGCGCATGCCACGGATACCAGATGAAACTGTACTGCATACTGTCTTACGACTTCGAAAAATGGAAAACCAACCATCCACCCTGATCTGAATAGATTTCTGCACTTTGTCTAACGAAGTTTTCGCAACACAGGTGTAATTCGCAGCGTCGTATCGTGCCGGATTCGTGATTACTAGTGCATTTTTATCAGTTATCCGATAATGCCCGGACTGGATATACTGTTCCAGCAGCGGCTGTAAACAAAGTGGAAAAATTGTCGGAAACTGCTCTACATGAAAAAAACCACACTGAAAACTTGTTACCAAACCATACGCTCTGAACAAATAGCAAATTTCCATGACAAGCAAATTTACTATCATTATCGTTGTTGTTATTATTATCCCTGCAGTACAATGCTGTTTACAGGATACAGTGGGAGAGGAATCCTTAGCATTCCCGATCTGGGGCCTAAGCCTAGGACCCGCAATCTGATAAGCACTTCCATGAAATTAGCACCAATAGGTGCAATGCGATTGATTTTCTATGCCAATCGCTTCCAGATCTCTCTTTTGGTGCTACCAACGACTCCAGTGATGCTTATCACCGACATAATTAGCAGAAAACTTTTTTTTCTTCTTTTGGCTGTTGCATTTTTTATTATTTAGACTAATATTTGAAGGATATGTGCAGTGAAAATCTATTCGTGCTCTTTTTATCAATATTTAGCAGAAGAAAGCCGCATGCTCCAAAACGAACAGCTCAGTACAGGAAGTCGACCAATGTTCAACACACATGGTAACAGCGGTTCACGAAAATCTGTGTAACTATTTGGTACCTTGCCATCAACCAGCCATTCATAGGATACTTCAAGATTGCTGTCGTGCTCCGCTTCACATGGCAATTCAATCTGCTGGCCGGCAAGAACTTTTTCCAGATGTCTTTCAAATGGTGCCAGTCGTGTCGCTTCTGCAAATATAAACATCTGACCTGTCATGCAATTTTGGTGTTTTGAAGTTACACCACACCGCTGAAACAATTCCTGCCGCTCGAGTACAAGCCCGCCCCGACTGCTCTCGGATACAAATTATCAGAAATGCTTGGGCCCGTTAACTTTCCATTAACTGCGTCTCAATTCCAATGTATCAAGTGAGCACCGACCTCTTACGATGATACGAGCCGTTCCTTTCGCACTCCCATGCTTGTTGATACCAGTACATGTATATTCACCCTCCGCAGCTTTTCCAACTGCTAAAGAGTTATTTTTTAAATAAACAAAGTGATTCATAACAACACAGAATGCATGGCATTTTACAGGCTGAAGCAACACGCTGCAATGGCAAACAAATAGCGCTGCGCACTAGAACAGCCAGTGAGATCATGCGTTTTGAGCAATTCCATTCAACAAACGATCCCCTGTTAATGATTTCCACTCCTTTGCACTTTGAGCTGTGCAAAAATAGTTGAAATGTTGAAAAACAGTTGAAAATTTCATGGTATGTGAAAGCTGAACTTGAAAACTCGAAGGATGAATATTCTCTCAAAATTTCAACCTCCTAATTTTCTGGCTTACGAATGTTCTTTAAGAGGAAACTTTCACGCGGCCATACGTGAGACCTCCACAAACTTAGGAATTGAATTCGAGTTTGTGAAGATCCTGCTTAGGCAGGAAACATCCTCCCAAAATTTTCAGCTCCCTAACCCTTCACACTCCCGAGGTAATGGTTTTTCTCCCCAAAATTCCCATGTGACATTGAAAATTTGCAGAGTTGTGGGCAGGGGAGCCACGCTAAAACTTCAGTTTTCTAGCTTCTGCAAACTTACCAAAACTTCCCTACAAAAACTTTCACAGGGCCGTACGTGCTACCCAGGGGTGCGTAAAGACTGAATTCAAATTTTCAAGGATCGTACGTTGATAGGGGACATCGCCCTAAAATTTCAAGTTCTCAATTTCCGTGGTTCCCGAGATAATAATTTTTCTCGCCGAAACTTTCACGGGGTAGTAAGTGGTACCTGGGCGCACGAGATGGCTGAATTTAATTTTGCAGGATTGTGTGGGCAGGGCACACTACGGTAAAACTTTTCTTGGCTTCAATGGTTTCCAAGGCAATAATTTCCCCGCCAAAATTTTCACGGAGCCTAGGTGACACACGAAAACGTGGGAACGCTGAATCAGAATTTGTGAGGTCGTACGTCGACAAAGAGTCATCCCATTAAAATTTCAGCCTCACAAATTTTGTAGTTCCTGAGGTAATTTTTCCCGCCAAAATTTTTTACGAGGCCGTATGCGTTACTCGTGGGCAGAGGAAGACTGAATTTAAATTTTCTGGGTCGCACTTGAGCAGCGGACATGCCCACAAAATTTCAGCCTTCTAGCTTCCGCGGTCTACGTGACAATAATTTAACCCGCCAAAAATTTTGCGGGGCCGCACGTGTTACTCGCGGGCACGGGGAGGCTAAATTTAAATTCAAGGGGTCACACGTGGATGGGGCACATTCCCCTAAATTTCTAGCTTCCTAGCTTTTGTGGTTCCCGAGTTGAAAGCTGCGGACACACACACA